TTCGCACCTTCCGGTTTGTTACAATTCAGAGAGTGTGGAAAGACAGATTGCCATGTGAATCCATGAGGCTTCCTGTAGCGTCGAACCTTCGGGTCCTACTGCTCATGATAGGAGGGAACTTCCATCGAGAGGGTCAGGGAAATGGCAGAAAAGGATCAGAGAGGATTCCAGGAAGGTTGGAAGTGCGAAGGAGAACCCAGCTGATCAGCTTGCCAATTCTCCTTGGATATTAGGGCACTCTCGCCGTATTTGTTATGTCTCACAGCGGCCATGCAGAAGGAGCTCGATGGACGATGTGCTGCTGCAGAGACATGCGTGAGACTCAGCCTCGTTTTGGGGGCGGAAGACTGCAGCGAGCACCTAGCATCAGCCTTTTGGTTTAAGCTTTGCAGGTGGTTGCAAGTTGGGAAATTCCTGATGCCCTGCCGCTGCTGGCACAGGCAGGAACAGCTGATTGCTCCGAAACATAGCGTTATCGTGAATTTGCTTGGCGTTTGCGTGACTGGTGCCCTTGGCATCTTGGCCAGCGGGGCTATATTGACAGAATCAGGCCGTTGACGTGCGGCAGAAAGAGCAAACCACATTCACAGTTGAGCTTCGATAGTTTGCTTGTGGACGGAGTCCCCGATTCTGAACTGGCCCGCGGAAGATGGCAAAACCAGACCTGAAGTCTCCTGACAGGTTCCACGGCTCAAGTGCAGCATGTCTTCGCGACCTTGTTTTGAAGATTCTTCGTGGCTCTGATGTCTAAAAGAACCCCACCATCCCGCCAAAGGCCTGAGCACGCTACCGGGCCTCCCTCCAAACTGGTCGCCGGGGTTGACATCTAGAGTCTGATCGGGACTGACCGTCACCGTGGAGCACAATACCTCTTGGCGGCTAACCTGACAGATTCAGGCGGGGAGATCTTGAATCAAGAGGTAAGTGGCACCACCTGCTACCAGCAACGAACAGCAATGAAAGTCGCAAAAGGGAAGGATGCGAGAACGAGTGTGCGTGCCCGCATCCAGGAGTGTTTTTGCAGGGGCATTGTGACGTAACAGAGAGATCCAAGAGTCCTGTCACGGCCCTGTAGTCGATGTAGTAACACTGGTGTAACTGGTGCAGAGAGCGTTAGACAAGTGTGAGATCGTGGATGGCATTGGTTTTCTGTGCGGTGGCGCGTTGGGCCAGCGAAGGGCCTGCGATTCTGCGACATCCCAAACTGAGAATAGCCAACCTTGTCAAGATCACTTCAAGATCCATCATACTACTTTGGGGGCTCCTTATTCTAATTATAGTATAATGGCCCCAAAACCCTATTCTAATTATTGAGGCCCCTATCAGGATCCTCGGGCTGTCCCTCGTTGGTTCTGCAGTGTCCGCCTTTGTCTGACCTTCACATCTGGAGCTGCCGTCATTGGATGGACCACTTATTGCGAAAAGACAGTGCAGTAGTAGCCCAACAGCCAGGAAAGCAGTCGCACGAGTGATTCGAGTTGTCACTCTCACTTGTGGCATTTTGTTGGTGATTCGGAGTGGAAATTGTGAGGAGGATCAGTGTTGTGGTCTATGATAGTCATAACTCATAAGTATGTCATAACTGCAAACCTCTGTCTTACCGCTATCCTGGCGCAGGATGTACCTCGACGAGGGGGCTCGAAGCTTCGGCCGCGGCGGCCTTTCGACCAGAAAGTCTGGGGTCTCGTTCAGAAATCGGAGCTAACGGAAGCTGGCTACGCAACCCTACACTACCCTGTCCTAACCCAACCCTACCCTACCCTGCCATGGGGTACATAAGGTGATTTTGAAGTGGATTCTGGGTCATTCCGAGTGGTCAAGTTCAAGCTTCTGTCTCGTTCTGATGAGTTTTCTCCATACATCTTCCCGATGCTCAGAGACCTCTACAATCTCTAGCGTGTTGGTTTTGCACAATGAAAAATCTAGTGCAAAGGGTGCTTCTCGTGCTACCAGTATGGAAGGGACAAGCATGGCTGTCACGCGAGACAGTTGTGCATCGTAAACCAGGGCGCCTCAGAAAATTTGCATCGGAAACCGTTGAGCATCAGAAACTTGAGCTTGGAGGCCACTAGAGCGAAGGGGGTGGGGATTGGGGGTGGAGGTGGGGGGTTGGTGTGATTCGCTCTGGTTGCCGAATCAGCCGTTCTGGTTTCTGAACCAGGGCGGTTTCCGAATCATGGCCGGCCGATGGCCGGTTTCTGATTTAGCCGTTCTGGTTCTCGAATGAGTCGTTCTGACTGCCGGGTTTTCCGTCGATGTGCCACGCGAAAACGCGCACAACCTTTTATCAGCAAAGCCATCGTTGCTTCGCTGCCAATGCCGGCGAAGCACATAGGTCACCAGGTCACCCTCACATGCCGGACATGTTTTGTTTGGGTGGGATCCACCGCATCGAAGCCTGTATCCACGCTGCCACGGATTCCAACAGGTGAGAGCCGAACTTATGCTCGGAAGCCGAAGCAGCCAAGATACATGCAGCCAATGCACCTCACTTGTCCCGTGCTGGTTCCGGGATTGAGAGAATAATCCTACCGACGATGCCGCGGCTCATCTTTAGCTCCGGTGAGGGACCTGCCCCGCCCCCCTTGTATGTTGCAAAGCCGCGCGTCGCAATTGTCGCTGCTTGTGCACGTCGACGGATGCAAGATAATCAAAAGAGTGTTGAACCTCTGTCATATACAGTAGTACTACAGTACAAGCCTGACCAAACGAACAACACGGCACCTGATAGCAGAGCACAGTACGATCAAGGAAGTTCTGGTGCAGCTCCTGCAGCTCTTTGGGGCCCTTCGCGGACATCACCTTCCGCCGCTTCGGCTGGAGAAAGAGGGGCTGGAGAAAGAGGTGGTCGCCATGTTTCTTAGTGCAACATGAAACTTAGCAACAACAGAGAAAACGCGGTAGGCCACGTCTAGTTGGTGCAGAGCAGGGCAAGTGTATTAGTTGTACAGTCTGGGTTGCAGTCGGGTCACAGGCCCTCTTTGAACCCCGAACAGACAGGGGAGAGACAGAAGAGAGAAAGAGGGAGAGGCGCTTCCCCATATTCGTTGGAAGGAAAGAAGAGAGAGAAAGGTGGACCGAGAGGTAGGTCATGGTAGGTCCATGCGGATCTTTGCGCCATTGTAACTTCCACATGAATGCAACTCACGCAGGTGTAAACGCGTAGGACACAGAAAGTTTATGAATGTCATCGCATACGTCCTTGCCCGAATTGCTGCATTCGTCTTGTTTAGCACGCCAAGTACTTTCATGCTAACAGATGAGGGCTGTTTTGAGTATGGTGGATGCCTACATATGTGAATCTACAGTTGCAGCAGCACATACACAGGCCGTGGTGTAGGAATATCTATGCACCATTGAGTGAGTGATGTGAGGAGAGGTGAAGGGTTGACCAGGGCAAGCACACAGAGTAAAAACAAATGATAAAACGCCCAGATGTCATGGGCAACACTCAGTACTGTAAGCAAGTCACGCAATAGAAAGCATATGATCAGTAGCTGCAAGGGCCTGTCCAATGCAAGTGTCCAATGACGATGCAAAACAATGATGTTCACACTCGCAATCAAACGTCACTCCAGTCAATGAAGTATATACCAATACCCCAAGGCATGTACATATTATCAGCAAACTGTCTTACTTCATGTGTGGGCTGCTCTTCTTGTTTCCGCGTCGCGGACTTGTGCCTGGAGTCGAGAAGGGAGGTCTGCAAAAAAACAGCCCCTGATCAGTGTCAAGTTGAGTCTTCGAATGAAGAGGATTCAGTCGTAGGGAAGGTACTGGCATTCCGGCAGAGCCTATTTTTTGCGGGAGGAGGTGCAGACGAGGCGCAATGGCATCATTCAGCGGGTATCAGAGTGCTGGTGAAAGGACTGTACCCAGCGGGCGATGGAGATGCAGCGAAGGCAGGTGTCGACAGCAGTCTATGCGCATATGATACGTGTAATTACATTTGATGTTAATATCTCTATACACACATTTACTGGCATGTATGCATGGCTGCATGTATTGCATGCATGCATGTATATATGTACATACACATGTATGTATGTACGTATGTATGTACGTACGTATGTATGTATAAACTTATGTACAAGCACAAACAAACATCTGCATGCATACATACATAGTTCGATTTCTCCCCATGCCTCCAGGGCTTAGCTACCTGCCAGCTGTGCAAGTGTAGAAGCGCAGGTGCACACGTTGTCGTGTGCGTGTGCACAAAGTCATGTCTCCGCGAAACAGAAACGCAAACACACACCCACTCACTCTCTCTCATATATCTATGTATATATATATATATATACAAATACATATTTATATGCAGACAGAGTCGTTGTGTCTGACAAACTTCTTACGCAAAATCACAAGAATGTGTATTGTTATCCCTAGCGTTGGAGCACTGGCAAGTTCGGTTCTGAGCTTAGCCCCGCGCTATGCACAGTGGCAGTGCTCCACAGATGCGTAGGAGTGGTGAGCTCCCATACCAGCCATGAATGCAGCCCTCTTGCTATACAGCATGCCAAGCGTGTCACTGGAGAACATGTTCTTGTTGTAGTCTCTTTCGAGCTAGCCTGCATTCGATGCCATGAAGCAGCACAAGACCACATGCTCTCAGGGTGACTCTGTCATCTACTTCTGGGCTGAGCCACCTGTCTTCAACACCCCGTGCCTAGGATCAGGCGGTTGCTCAGGCACGGATTTGCAGTCCAGCAACAACAGTAGCTTTTTTGTGTGTTGGTGTTGGTGTTTGGTGCAGGTGCTGCTGGTTTTGGTGTTGTTCCTGTGCTTGTTCAGGTTGTCGTCGTCGTCGTCGTCGTAGTTGGTGCTGCGACTGTTGCTGTATGCTGTGCCGTTGGTGTTGCTGCTGCTGCTGTTGCTGCTGCTGTGGCTGTTGCTGTTGCTGCTGCCGCTTCTGCTGCTTAGTCGTGGTAATCCTAAACATACTGATGATGGTGAGACTTGTGCTGGTGATGGTGACTATGCTGCACCTCTGCTGCTGATGATGATGGTGTCCGTGGTGATGATGTCAAGGTTGCAGGACGGCCGCTGCCATAGATGCTGGTCGCTATGTCGATGATGATGCTAGCGGCTGGTGGGATGATGGTGATGCTCGTGATGAGGCTGGCAGGGATGACGATGTCCGTCGTCCTTGTGGTGATGAGGCTGGTGGTGACAGAGACGTTGCTGGTGCCGAGGATGATTGATGTGATGTGATGCGATGGTGCTGATGATGCTGCTGACGATGATCATGACGATGGGGATGGTGGTGGGGGAGGTTCTTGATGATGCTCATGAGCGACCAGTATGATGATGAATATTTTCGCATTTCCAACCCCGAGGTAGTCATGATCTTGATTGCATCTGTGGTGATGCCGGTGCTGCACGCGATCGTAGTGATTTTCCTCGCTCGTTTGTATGGTTACAGAAGCTGGAAAATTGGTTGTGACAACCTGCTGTGCACGATCGGTACCGATGGCCCGCAACAGAGGCATTGCTGGTGACCCTGTGCGGACATGATGTTTGTGGTGCTGTTGATGAGCACCATGATACCGATGATGCTTGCAGCAGTTCCTTTGCATCAGTCCGTCTCATCCGTTGCCTGCGTCGCAAAGCTTCGTGGCCGAGGGTCGCTCCGCGGCTCAGCTTCGCTTTCACCGTGCAGGCCGGGGGGCGGTGCCTTAGGACCCTTAGGACCTTCGGGGCGGCAAGCCAACACCGGAGATGGATTTCCTGAGCCCTCAGACTGCTGCCGGCATGGACTTGTTGCTTTCCACGTCTGGGCGATTCCGGATTGAAGCTCCCGCTTTCTCCCGAATGCAGACTTTCGAGACTGCCGTGCGGGAGCCGAAAACTTCGGGAGAAGTTCAGGTGGGTGAGACCGAGATGGCCCAGCAAACTTGGTACCATGAGGCCCCGCTTCTGCCGCCACAGGTCTTTGAAAGCATATCGGCAGGTCGTGCAATGTCGAATATTCTGGAATATGGCACGTAGAATTGGAAGAACTGGCTGTCGCAACATCCGCCCATGCTTTCATTGGCTCAAGAAAATGTTCCTCCCTTCACGTGCTCTTTTACACTACGTGCGGCGTGGCTGCACTATGCAATTGCCAGGCAACTTGACAGCTTTTTCCGTTTCGCCAAACTGTCCACATCTTCACCCAACAAGCTCGAGCTTCCAATATTCGGTTGTGCCGCTCTCGACGCTTGAGGCTAACATCGCTTGATTATCCATATGGCGGCTGCAAAACCGCTGAGGCCCAGGATAATTGTGCAGGTTTCATCTGCCATGCCGTCGGGTAGTGGTAGTAGTAGAAGTAGTAGTAGTGGTAGTGGTAGTGGTAGTGGTAGTGGTAGTGGTAGTAGTAGTAGTTCAAAAGTAGTAGTAGTAGTAGTAGTAGTAGTAGTAGTAGTAGTAGTAGTAGTAGTAGTAGTGGTAGTGGTAGTGGTAGTGGTAATGGTAGTGGTAGTGGTAGTGGTAGTGGTAGTGGTGGTAGTAGTAGTAGTAGTAGTAGTAGTAGTGGTAGTGGTAGTAGTAGTAGTCGTGGTGGTGGTGGTGGTGGTGGTAGTAGTAGTAGTAGTATCAGGAGGAGGAGCAGCAGTAGCAGCAGCAGCAGCAGCAGGAGGAGGAGGAGTAGTAGTAGTGGCAGTGGCAGTGGCAGTGGCAGTGGTCGTGGTAGTGACTGGTAGTGGTAGTGAGGGGTAGTTGCAGAAGGAGTGGCAGAGTTCCTGTCTATGTGTGACACTCTCGAGCCAGCTCGCCGCAGGTGCTTCAGATATTTGCTGCTGACGCTGCTTGCCTCCCCAGCTGCACAAGGTGAGTTCATGAGAAACAGTACGAAGCATGACGCACGGCCAATGTGGCAGTGATCCCATGAGCCCAGGGTTTCCGGACCCACCTCGGCCGGCAGTCCCAGCTTTTTGAGTCGAAATCACATGTCACAGGAGATTGGCTTGCGGAGAACGACGAATGCCAGGATGGCACTTGCGCACTGCAAGCGCTGCAGCTGTCAGGCAAGAAGAGGCAGGGCCTGTGACCTTCAATGATAATTTTTGCCTGCGGGGCCCGAGCTTCCGGGCTCATGTCGGGCATTCCTGTTGAAAGACTCGAGAGCCTACTAATCCACTGGCTCCAGCACTATTCAAGGGTGCAATGCGCGAACACCTGCGGTAAAGCCCGTGGAGATACACAGATGCTGAACGCACCATCCATGCGCCATGTGACACAAAGATCTTGTCACTCGTTACCAGTAGCTGATCAGCAAGCCTTCGCGCGCCCGGAGGTATGAAGACGGCCCTCACCCGGCACTGTGTGATACAGCCATTGTTGAGGAGACCTGTCACACTGCTGCAGCATCAGTTCCTCCCTTATTGTGTTTTTAGAGGCTAGCGGTAACAGATCCCAACAATCTGACATATACGATACTAACTAACAACAGCACAAAAGTCAAAGTACTCTGGACACCGAGACCTCGTTTGGCTTGCCCGAGTTGCGAGAGCGTAACAACAGCAGCAAGGCTGTCCAGACTAAACGGGAGAACTAAATCAATATCGAAAAAAGTGTAACGTAGTAGCTCTGGTAGTAGTGCCTACAGGCAGCGATGATCATGAAAACTTGCTGTGATTCTTGGTACGCCAGTTAGTGGCGGCATTCCACTGCTCGTAATTATGGATGAATGTCGTCCGGAGGCACAGACGAGGATGCGCCAGGTAGAAATGGCTTCGGCAGGCAGTAATGTATGCTTGCTGCGGGGGTTCGTGGCAGAACCAAGACGTAACCTATCTGCACTACAACCATGTAGGGTAAGAGTGTGCAGCAGCGCGATATGCGGCACCGCAGCAATGGACTGCAGTGGACCGTAGTTTTGCAGTGCTAGACTGACTCTCATTAGGATGTGTCAGAATCAGCTTTCAGCAACACAATCGCATAGCGATCCACTTCGCATTCGCACGGAGCCACGAGCCCTAATGCAACTGCTCAGCACACGAAGCGTCATGCCAACCAACCCGGATGCGAGACCCAAGACACCAGACGCGCCGCGAGACGAGACAAGAGACTCCAGCGTGGACTCCAGGCACTACATGAGACTCAAGATCGGATTGCAAGATTCACCTGAGAAAATGTCGCACTTGGACGAAGGGGAGTATTCGAGGGTCCAACGACGACAGCTGCAAAGGATTGCGGTAGCAAAACTGTCTTCGTCAAGTACTAGGTCCCAGTTGCGCAATAGGCGTGAGTAGGCCGAGTGGGAGTTGCTCCCCTGCAGTCGCAATGTATCGGAGCGGGGAAAAGTAAGACATCAGTATTATACACTGTACATGTGCTTGGGCATCTGAGGCACGGGAGTCAACAAGCTGACTACTGAGTATTACAATTCCACGGCTGACAGATCCACGCAGGTGCTCATTCATTGATGGTGCAGTGCATTGGGTCGTTGTCTATTGTATTGTATGGCATAATGTCCTATTGCATCACTACTGTCGCGCATTGTGTTACGTTCTGTTATGCGATTTAACCTTCTAACTATAGATATGTATATATATATATATATATATATATATGTATGCATTACCTTGTACTGTATCATATGGTATCCTATATGACTATGCGTTATGTTGTAGAGCAGATGCGAGGCTTAAGACGTTTTCTGTGTGCCTCCGTCCTCTGATCCATCCAACGAAGCTTATGGCAAATCAGTGGCACGTCACGGTTTAGGGTTTAGGGTTTCTGGAGCCGCGTCCAACTACCCCTAGACGTCACGTCGCAGGTGGTGCATGCCGCCGAGCTTTCGGAGCAGATGATGGTTTCACGCCGCTCCGTTCGAGAGCTCCTTTGCGAAACTGCAATGCAGACTTTTGTTCTGGGGTGGCCAGATCAGAGCACATGTGCAAGTCCACAACCATAAGCAGCTTCAAGGCAGATCATGGCAGCAAGCAAGCTTGTGTGTTTAGTTGGGCCTGCCGCCTGAATCCGTGCCTCGCGCGAGTGAGTCGAAACAGGACCATGCAGGAAGCAATGCTCATTGCGTGGTGTAGCCGTGGAATGCTTGCCGGACTGGTGTTAGGTGGAGCACAAAGGCGCTTGGGGCCTCAGGCTTCAGGTCGGTTAACAGTCGACTGGTTGGTCCTTGATACATGGTGTGCACTTGCAGTGTGCAAGTGTGGTGGTTTTTGTTCGTTTTTGTCGGCACTTCAGTTGTGAAAAGATGCATCACCCCTCATTCCGGCAGCGTGTCTGTCAAGCAACCCACCCTTGAAACCTAAGCCGCAAACAGTCTCTGAGGTTTCTGGCAGGATTGGGCCTCACGAACAAAGAGGCCAGCTCTTTGTCAGTCAGTGTTTGCCAAGCCATGCCATCTTTTCAAGCACATTTTGTATGACTCAGTATACGGGCCTCATGGACCCCTGCATCAGAGAAGCTCCTTATCTCCGCACACTTGTCTGAGGAGAGGCTGCAGCCAACCAATGGTTGGGCTGTACTGCTGAATTCCAGACCTCTAGCGCAAATCAGTTTTCCTGAGCAGAAAGGAGAGGAGGCTACCTCCCAACAAGATCCAACAAGTACGGTGAAGGATGAGAACTCTTCCGGCATCCTCACTGTTGTCCAAGCTTAGCATGGCAGAGGAAAGAATCAGGTGAGGCTTGAGATGGCTAGTTGGTTTGCGTGATCCCAAACGTCGAGAATCATTTTGGCAGACCATCTGTGGCATCACAGCATGACCGACTCGAGCACGTGAGCTAGGGACCGATAGAGGGAGGGGTGCGATCATGGTTACTCAAGCTCCTTGTGGCAGTGTTTGACCTCATACCCGGCTCCTTGTCTTCCAGGAGGATCCAAAAGCCCTCGCGAGAAAGGCAGGGGGAGGGCGGGGGAGGGGGGGGGGGGGATTCTCCGATTGAGGCTTCTCGCTTTGCCATAGCGCAGTTGCAAAGCCCAGGCCTTGGGCCTTGGCTATGCTTCGCTTTTTCCAGCAGCTTGAGAGAGCCGACTGGATGAATCCTTGCCTGCCTGTGCGAGTTGCGAAAGCCGAAGTAGCCCGGAAAAGGGCAGGTGCATCGCGATAAGAAAGCTGATAATGATAAGACCTGTAGTCCACTGCCTTGATCGCATCCTTGAAGGCCATCGGTATGGGTTGTTGGCCTTGATTTTACAAAACGCTAGACGAGAGAGCACGGCTTGGACAGGCATACGCGGTTGACTGCGTAGAGCTTTGTGCTGCTCCGCTTGCACTAAATGTTTCCGTCCTTATGTTTGCATGCATGTGCATATGCCATGTACTCTTGGTGCTGGTTGTTCTCTGTTGCTGGTATCTTTAAAGATGATGACCAGCGTTGGGGGCATCCAGAGCTGTGAGGATGAATGCGAGGTGGTGTTTCAGTTTGAAGAAGCAATGCGAGTTGGAGCGGCGGGTGCCATGAACATGTCACACCCAGGCTGCCGTGGTGGACAGCATTCCCTCTGCGCGCCGGCCACCAACATCAGACATTGTACCTCGAAGCAATTTGTCCTCCTCCGTTTGCAGTTCACAAGCATGCTGCTTCCACGCTACTTTGCTGGGTAGCTGTGCAATCTTGCCAGCAAGCATGGCTCGTATCTTACGGGTGCATCCAGGTTTTTCTGTTCTTGCGACGAGCTTCGCGAGGCATGTGCTAGGAAGGCTGCAGGCTGCCGACCTCTTTAATGAAAGTAAGAAAGGCGCGGTGTGATCCTAGGCGTGCTACATCCCGCACGGTCAGACGAAAGCCGTATGTGACATTGATGTCTCAGCAGCTCGGATGCAAAGTCGCTCCAAATCGCAGTGGTAGTTGTCTTTTGATGCTATACCCAGTCTTTTGGGAAACGCTGCAGCTGATTCGGCCCGTGTTTCGTCAGCAACTGCACAAGCGTCCAAGACTCTGCCATATAGATTGTTT